TGGAGTTAGAGGCAATTTTGGGGGCTAAAGAAATGGTGCAACCTCCATTTGGTCTACGGAAGCATGAAAATGGGGGCTATTGCTAGGGTTGCTTTCACCGAGTATCCTTAATTAGAAAATAGTTAAATATAATTTGTAGGAAGTTGATCACATGCCTAGTTTATTTCTATTTTCGAAAACTGGATTCATTCTGAATTTCGTGCGTTCCAACATGATCGTAAAAGCAACATGCAAAACAATTACTAAAGGCATGTCAGTATACAAATCATTCTAACTAAACCTCACTACTAATAGCACAATGCATGTGCGTTGCAACGAAGCCACAAAAAAGTCGAGGAGTTAGCAATCGGCTTATGAGATCACTGAAAGTGTTTGCGTCCCACGACTGTTGCGTTGTTCATGGTTAAAAAAGAGGCAAGAAGGCGAGGCGAGATCTACATGCGACGACCGTTGGAGAAACTTAAGCGACGATGATAGGGGCTTTGCAAGATTTGAAGTGAGATAACATTTTAAGTTTTGAAATGTGGGAGGGTGGGCATTAGGAAGGAGAGTGCACGAGGTCGATGATCAATTAGGAGGACGAGGTCCATCGTTGCATTGGAATTAGATTTTGTTTGCTCTTTTATGCTATGATATAGAGCAACAAGAGTTGTTTTGTTTTTTTCCAGAGAAAGATAACCAGCAGGATCGTTTTGAGCTGATGTTTCATTTCCGTATTTGTTATTTGCATCTTTCGTAAGAGTGTTGGCATGAACGATGTATTTGTATATTTTGTGTTAGTTTTACATAGGAGTAGAGGTGTATTCTTTTATATATGCTTCTGGAAAGGTAGCTTAGCATCACATGTGAGCAAAAATGTATTTGTTTGATTGTGACTTTTACAAGGCTAATGGCCCCACATGTGAACAATGGCAGTGGAAGAAAAATGAATTCACAATCAATTCCGACATAACTTTATAAGAGCATCTAAAGTCGGGCGCCCCAAACCCGCCTCAAACGTCCGGGCGGGCAGCCTGGTCATTAACAGGTCACGAAAATGCAACCTAGACGGCGCCTCAAACACCCAACCCGAACATGGGGCGCATCCGCCACGTCGGACCGACGATGGGGTCCTATAGAAAAACACTGTGAAAGCCGGCGGTCCGAAGGCCGTCTCCTCCGTCAGACCGATGGCGCCGTGTGGAGCCACTCCGGTGGGCTACGTAGTGCCTAGCCCGTCTATTTAAGCCGACCGCCAGCACCAAACCCCTACCCGTCCACATTTTCCCCCTCACATCCGCCGCCGCCACTTTCCACTAGTCGTCCGCCATCAGTAGTAGCCATGCTCCCATGCTGCCGGGTCAGGAGCTCCCCATATCTAACGCCCGAGTGCCGGCTGCAGCTCCTTGAGTAGATCCGGGCAAGGCGCGAAGCCCAGATCGCCATGGTGCTACCTCTGGACGTGGTGGATCCGGAGGAGGAGGAGGAGGAGATTGAGGATGTGGGGGACGCAGATCTGCATGCGAAGCAGCAAGAGATCCTCGATTCCCTCCGGTCGGAATCGGAGGCGGAGGCCAACCGTCGCAGTCTGCAAGAGGCAGAGGCAGAGCACCCGCGGTCTTTGACGAGATGCTCATGTCTACAGATAATGACGAGGAGCTGGAGCCCTCCCACACACCCATCTACCCGTCGCCCGGCACCGACATCATGGACATCTCCGACGACGAAGCTTAGCTGGTGTAGTACGTAGATTTCTTTAGCATGCTTTGTATTGATCTAGGGGGTGAAATATGCAAGACTCGGATGCAGAGGAGCAAATTTCAGGCTTGATCGGCCACTGTCCGCGGATGCGCCTGGTCGTGTCTGCGGGCGTTTGTGAGGTTGGATTTTTTGTCTACGGTTGTAGATGCTCTAAGCACGCGGGATGATTGAGAACCAAAGTATGCAGCCATCATGGACCTACCATAGCAATGGCTCTTAAGATGCTTTACCCATGCTAGCAAGTACTCTCTGGATAAAAATGAATGTGTCTAAAACTAAAATATGTCTAGATATATCCATTTCTCCAATAAATATTCCGGACAGAGAGAGTAGTTAAGTGCTAGCTCGAGCTCATATAAACTTGGGTGAACAGTAAAATTAGAAAAAACTGAACTTATTTTGTGACAAGCATTGACGAATGTTTTGAATGCTTGAAAAGTTTCATCGTGAAATCACATTTTTTAAAGTCGTGGCAAAAAAAATCGATGTTGTAAAATGTTATTTCCAAAAGCATTTTGGAGTGATGATTTATTTATTTTTACCACGACGTCTACAAATATCATTTCATGATAAAATTTTACAATCACTCAAAATATTTATCAAATGTTTATCATAAAAATTCATATTTTTAAACTGATTTTCATTTTTCCGAATTTTAGTATTTTATTGTTTTGTCCCGAGCTCATTCGAGCCGGGGAGCAGAAGAGTGCTTTCGTAGGAGCTGCCCAATTCTTAAATTAGCTTGGCAAAAGTAATCTCATCAAATTAGCTTTCTGTTCCCTCCGTCGTGTAGCGGCCGCTACCTACGACCCGATTTATCGACCGCCGTGCCGAGTGCCGACATTATCCGGTCGATAGTACGATCAAACTGACGCCACGTACGTAGCCTAATGTCCAGCACTTTGATCTAACTAGCTACTCTACGACCCTTCCTTTACGATTAAACATTTCGACCCGTATAGCACGTGGAGCTCCATTGCAGTCTTGACGGGCTTCCCAGTAGCGGTGCCACGTGCGACCACCAAGCCTTTGGAACGAAGGAAATCAGGCACGCCGCAGTGCGTGCACGCTTCGCCGGCGACGGAGGCGTGCTGATTTCTGGTCTACATGGCGAGCTGAGACAGCCCCGGCCGGTA